TGGGTGGGAGTATGAGTGACATCTTACACATGCAGTAAAAGATGAGGGGGAAACTGGTTGGAGTAAAGCCATTTGTTACATGTGTAAAAAAACTGAGCTTGGAATTTTGGGAGGATACAATGCTCTTTTTTTGTTTGTATGGTGGTAACATAGTAGACGATGGTTACATCATATATGCTTTAGCCAATATGTAATCAGTTCAAATAAGACCAGTTCAGGCCTTGCTCTTGGTGCCAGGGGGGACTGTGAAGCTGAATGGAGCCACCCAAGTACCTATTTTGCCAAAGTTATGGTCGTCACAACATGCCTGGTTTTTGAGCAAATACTGGTGTTGTCCCAGTGAGGAGCCTCTTGTTCCATTACTGAAAGAGATTGCTCCAAAACATGGTAAAATTCCTCTCTAATGGTGCCAGGGGGGTATGTGATGCTTAATATAGTTCTCTAACTCCCATTTTTGACCAAGTTATGACCCTCACAGTGATTTTGGTTCCTGGGCAGCAGATGTCATTAGTGCATATGCTGTTAGAATGGTATTTGTTCCAAAACACCATAGATGAGGTTTGTAGCAAGATAAATTCCTGTCTATTGGTGCCATGGGAAGTATGTGATGCTAAATAGAATGATCTAACTCCCTTTTTTGACAAAGTTATGGCCCTCATACTAGTGATTCTGGTGGTCCTTGGCAGATATTAGTGCATATGCTGTCAGAGTAGTGTTTTTGCCAAAATATCAAAGATGGGTTTTGTAGCAAGCTACAGTCCTCTTTATTTTTGCCAAGGAGGGTGCGTGATGCTTAATTGAATGGTCTAACTCCCATTTTTGACCAAGTTTTGGTGCTCATCGTGTTTTTGGTATGTAATAAAAAAAGAGGGGAAACTGGTTGGAGTATAGCAATTTCTTACACTTGTAACAAAAATGAGGTTGAAATTTTGGGATGACACACTCTTTTTCTTGTTTGTTAGATGGTCGCGATTTAAAAAAGGGTTAGTAAGATATATCGTATAGGCTTGGCCAGCCAATGTACATTTTAAACCTTGGATTTGCGGCCATCTTTTTTTGTGTAATGACTACTTTGACTAAAAATTGTATACATACGAAATCCACGTGCTCAGTACATCAAATTTTTGAATCCCACCAAAATAGTTTTGCTTGCACGTGCAAAATAGTTTCGCTTGCACGTGCACAATGTAGTAGCCCTGGTACAAGTCAAATTTTAATCCCACGAGTCATTACACAATAATTAGATGGCAGCTAATCCACACACAGTACAAAAAACATGTAGGGCATTAAGAGAGGTTCAACTCACTCGAACAGCCATAACTTTTTCCCCAACAGACGCTTAAGTCGTATGATAAGCACATGGTTGAAAAGAGAATTCAAAGAGCTTTCTAATGCCGTGGGGGAGTACGGCGTACGACGAATATTGACTTATATTCATTTACGTACATATTGAATTGCTAATGTATGGTTTAAACCGTGCTTTTTTGCTTGGCCCACGCTATACGATATGGTGCCTTAGCCGAAACTTTAAAGGTTGGATTAAAGCCAATTTTATCTTGTATAGTACAGTAGTAGATTAATGAAGACCATGACTATATTTGTCTTGTTATAAGGATTTGATCTATATACGGTATATGTTGATAGGGGTTGCACATGTTCCTGAGCAGCAGAAAATTCTCCTCCTGATTCTTTTCCCATGAGGAGGTACAAGTACGAGTGCGTTGTAAGACGTGACAGCTTTTTAACGGTAGGGATTCTACAGGACTCTACGTGTGGAACAATAGTCTTA